TTACTACCTACATTGCTGGTTGTGCATATGCGATTAATCCCAGGCATCTAGTTGCGCATATGCAAACAGCACCTAGGCAGGTGTCACAAACATAACCTAGATAGCTGGTTCTACATATGCAAACAGACCTAGGCAGTTGGTTATGCATATACAAAGAACACCTAGGCAGTTGGCTAAACATATGCAAACAACACTTAGATAGCTATTTATGCTTTTGCAAAAAGTCCCTAGGCAGCTTGCTACACTTATACAAATAACCCCAAGGCACCTGTATATGCCTAGGCATCTGGCTATGCATATATCGAAACTGCACTTAGCCAGCTGGCTGTGCATATGAAAACAGTACCTAGGCATTTGGTCTGCATATACAAAACAGCAAACAGCACCTAGATAACTGGCTATACATATACAAACAGTACCTAGGCAGATGGCTACATTGTTGTATGTATATGCCCACAGCACCTCGATAGTTGGCTATGCATATACAAACAGTACTTTGGCAGCTGGCTCTACAAGTAGTACAAGATTGTATTGATCTGGACTACCGGTACATGTCGGTTGATAAGATCATCGTTCACCCCTTGTGTGATAAGATAACATTATACTATCACATGACCATGCTACATCACTAATATTTGTGACGTTTGAACCATACGGTATGCTGATATGATATCACAATATTTATGATGTACATTATCATTTGTTATGATATGAAACTAAAACAGTTCAGTAGTGTTTTTTTTCAGACCAATCAACAATTGGTCACATGGTAATAACAGTGTTTACTTTTTGAAAACATCGCTAAGAAGGGTAATAATCACACATTGGAAAGATATAACTTCTATAAGTGCATGGCCGTGAGAAACAATTAACGCAATATGCATAAAACAAAATATTATTTGTACAAAAATTTACCAAACCATTTTCATGTTTTCATAGAACCTGAGTGAAGATGTCCTAGACCAATATTTGGAAACCAGTGAGTTGGATCCACCTAGGCTTGTTTTACTCACCTTGAATAACATAGCCTTGAAACGAGCATTTGTAGTTGGACACGGAATGACAGTGGAATGCAAAGTAAAAAATGTTGCTGAGGCACTGCTAGTGTTGCTCGCCACCTATAGTGTCTGGAATCTGGACTACCCTAAGGAGTACTGCCAAGCTCTGTATTTCTTCAAAATTGCTTTGTTGGGGGAAAGTTATGTGGATATGCAGTACATGTCATCAAAATTCCGATTACTTCTCAAGGAATATCACTCAAAATTTGGCATAGAAATGGACGATGCCCCTGCTGCAGCTGACACTCTGAATGGTGTTCTCTCCCCCAGTTGAGTAGACATGTGAGTGCAATGTACACTGCCAAAATGAACACAAGTAAGACTTCCAATCACAACAATTGGGTTTTTATTCAGCTTTTCATACTTTTAGCTCACTGTGTACTGAAAGCTTCTTACCGATTTGATTTTTTTAAATGATTTTGTGAGTGTGAGTAATGTACATATAAACAAAGACCTTTAATTTTTATCAGCTTTGAAAGACCAACAGGAGCTAGTCCCTTTTACCTGCTTGATTCAAGGGACTATCCTTAGTAATTGCACAAAATCAAGTGGCATACCCAACTTTGCTTTGACAGTATTTTTTCGCCATTATATTATATCAACTTCAATTTAAATGAAGCAGGATAAAAAACTTTAAAGCAACAAAAACCCTGTACAAATGCGATGTAGCACCTGAAACATTCTATTTGCAGTCATGGTAAAATAAAAATTGGCCCTGGAACTAGAACATTACAATTATAGTGAAATCAATGCTATGTAGCAAATTCAGACCTGTATTTTTTCATTTCAAGGTTTATTCTAGTTGTTTCTTGTTAGCAGCAATGTTGATACCTGGTATACGTAATGTTGTCTCAAAAGACATCATTTAACAAATATACAGGCTACAATTAGTGCAGATTGTGTTTTGAGGGTCAACAAATCTTCCTGGTTTACAAGCAAGCCACTGCAGATGGAAATGATTTCTCTGTCATTGTAACTCTGAAAAAAAAATAGTATTTTCTCTTACATCTTGTTTGATCCCAAATACACTATGTTCCTCATTAACTTCTATGCTGAAAATGCAAAAAAAAATATTTTTATCGTTTTCATTTGACAGCAGTGATATTCATGTATTATTCAACAAAAAACCATGGTATACAATTATTTTACCACAGCCTCCATCAGGGAGGATTAGCCCAAGAGATCACTATGCAATCTGGATGTAACGTTTCGAAGTCAGTCATCCATAGCCATCATCAAAGCAACGTCTCTTTTACAAATAGATGAAATAATTACAGCGATTTTTTTACACAATAATTCTCAATGAAAAATACACAAACATCACATAGAAATATACAGGCTCTAAAATTGTGTATATTGTAAAACAATTCAAGTAACAGCCAGTTAGACACTACTAGTTTCTTGCTGGAGTGAGTTCTATGTATGATTTTATTGATTCAAAATTGGTCTATTTCAAATGGCACATGAACACACAGTGGTTTCTCGAAATGCGTACTAATTAGGTAACTTGTCACTGGTAAAAGTTATTGAATATTAATTTATGCAAACTAGGTGATTATTTCAACCAATCAATTCATGCAACTTTAGTGAACTCAGCTCAGTGCATAGATTATCTGAATCATAAAGGTTGAACAGGTTACAGTGAAAACTAAAAGGCATTACCGGTATATTATTTTATGCAAGAAAATGATAATTGTAATGAATATATCAACAATTATATCTACCGGTATTTAGCCATGAATTAGGGCATGTTTATAACATTTATGAGAAAACTGTCATATACCT